TAACAGGAAGAAAAGGTCTAAAAGAGCAGGGGAATTGGGAGGGGTAGGGGAAGGGAAAAAAGGGAAAGGAAAAAATAAGAGAAAAGAAAAAAAATGGAAACAAGGTCTTTGCAAATAGGGAAGGGTGGAGGGGGTGAAGGGAGGGCAAGGGAAGGGGAAAAATAGTAAGAAAAAAGAAACTCATGTAATGGTACAAGATCCCAGTGATGTATGTAACTGTATTTTATACCAAAAATGTACCGATAAACTTAATGGGGAAAAAAGATATATTATGTACAAGTACAAATTTCCCACGATGTATGTGATCATTATGAAGGGCAAATATGTACTAAAAAGTAAATTAATTTAAAAACCAATCTGAATTACAGTCTGTTTTCAAAGAAGGTAATAATTCATCTCACTAATGTTCTTATTTTCAATTATTATCATTTTTTTTTCTTTGTGACATAAGAATAGGTCACTATTCTATTAGACTGAGTATTAATTTTTAATAGAAATAACATTCCTTCTCAAACTCACTGTGCATACAAGTCAGCTGAAGTTTTTGCTAAAATTCAGATTTTGATAAAAAAAAGTTATTATACCATTTGTGAATTTTTTCATCTCAAATTAGGTCACAGATATCCTTTTATGTTAAGCATACTGGCTATTCATTTCTAATAAGTGCATATTTCTTTAAAGAGATACCCAAGAATTCACAATTTTGTCTTCAGAAAATGTATTATTTTTAAATTTTGTGACCTATTAAGCACAGGCTACATTAATCCTTCTATTTTGACATTTTCAGTCTTGTAGGAAAGATTCTGAAAAGCACAGTTGAAAGTTAAAATTTATGGAAATTTACAATTTCAAAGGTTACTAACATTTTCTAAAAGGATAGTGACAATCTATTTCTCTAAAGCCCTGAATTAGAGTGCATATTATGCCACATCTCACTAAAAAAATGCTAGATTTAATTATTGTAGGTATCTTTGTCTGATTGCTGATATTATGTGAATAATTTCTAAATACTGTGTAATGTAATATGTCATTCATTTTTGGTAATTTTTGCTTGAGTTTACATTTTCTTTTTATTGGGCATTTTAAAAGAAATTGTGTGATATTTCTTCAACTCATTATTTTTCTTTAATATGATTACTAATACTGAACAACTGCATTCTGGAATCAATTATGCTGGACTGTTTTTATTATTATCCTGTTAACTTCTAGGTTTGTTTTGCTATCTTTTTATTTAGAGTTGTCCTTTATTGTTCTAAGTGAATTTATCAATGTTTTTCTTTCTGAGGTGCTGTTATTAAAGTTATGCCTGTTTTATAAAAGAAAATATTCAATTTTGTGGATGCTTTTCTAATGAAATATGCTACATGCATGCTTCCCAAAGTTATTTAATCATATATATTTAACCGATTTAGTGGCCATGGCTGGTATTTTTACAGCAATTTTTCTTTTCCTGAATTCACTATTTTGTTTTATGTTTTGATTGAAATATTTTAAGCTTAAGGTTATGTCTTTCATATGGATATAATTTGTTCCTGAGTGATTTTTTTCTTTTCTTTTTTTTAGTACACTATTTTTTAGAGAAGTTTTGGCTTCACAGTACAACTGAGTGGGTGGAATAGGGATTTCCCACATAAACTGTGACCCCATCTATGTGCCTCCCCTATGATCAACATCTTCCACTAGAAGTATATATTGGTTACACTTGAAAAATCTGCAGCTTCATTTCAGTATAACCCAGAGTTCACACTTTACACTAGGTTTTACTCTTGGTCTTATATATTCTATGGGTTTGGACAAATTTACAATGTCATGCATCCAGCATCATAGTATCATAAAGAGTAGTAGTTTGACTAACAGAAAATATTCTGTGCCACCTATACATATTTCCCCCTTAATTCTCGGCAATCTCTAATCTTTCTGTCTCCATAGTCTGGCCTTTTCTAGAATGCAGTGTGGATGAGATCACATAGTATGTACTATTTTCAAATTGGCTTCTAGTAATATGCATTCAAGTTTCCTCCATACCTTTCTGTGGCTTGATAGTTCATTTCTCTTTGGCACTAAGTGATATTCTATTGGCTGCATGTACCAGAGCTTATCCACTCACCATCTTGGATATATTGGTTGAATAATACTAGTATAAACATCTGTGTGCAGGTTTTTGTGTGACCTAAGGATTTTATTTTTTAAAAGTGCTTATAATAGCTGCATTCTTTGAGATCACATTTGAGTGGGTCAAATCTTCCCTAGAGTTATAACTAGATATATAAAATTTGGGGGAAAAGAAATTTCATTTACGTTTCCTCAAATATATGAAAACTGAAAAAAGAGTTGTGGGAAGTAAATTTGGAAGCAGCTTGAATTTTGCTTTTGTATAGTTGATTCCCACTTCTTGGTTGCTTTTCCTTTGAGGTTTCACACATTAATGAGTATTGCTCATTCTATAGTAGTTCTTTCTTAATTTGGGGGATAATTTTTCCTTTTATAACCTCATATATGTTGTTCTAAACAATATATAGATGAATTTCATTTTTTACTCAAACTAGAACTTGCTGTACTTTCATTTTATAATTTGTATTTACTCATTGTATTTTATTTTTATTTTCTTCCAAAAGACAAATATTTGCACATATGAAACATTCCTCTCATCATACCCTAAACTTCCCATACCCCTTTGGTGGTATAAACACTTTGAAAAACTATTTGGCACAATCTACTAACATTGAACATATGAGTATTGACCTAAGGATTCCACTACTATGTTTTTATCTTAAAATATATAGACATGTGAACCAGAAGAAATACAAAAATGTTTATAACAGAGTTTTTCCTAACAGTCCAAAAGAAGTCACTTGAATGTTTGTTGATGGATAAATATAGTGTACTTATAGTGCAGTATTTATTATTATTATTATTAATTTAATATAATACTACAGCAATGGAAAGAAATGAACTACTATGGTAGTTATCAGATACAATAGCATTTGACTCCCAAAATACATCATTGATTAAGTGTAGACAGTGAATAATGAATTCTGCATGATTCCATTTTTTAAAGTTCAAATTGGCTAACCTATGATATTACAACTAAGAACAATGATTTTCTATAAGGAGGGAGTAAGGTTGGAATGGGGCAGGAGGAGATTCTAGCCCCTTAGTAATATTCTGCTTCTTGATATACCTGGTGGTGTTATGAAAGTGCTTATATTAAATTTTTATTGTGTTTAAAATATGTGTATTTTCTGAATGTAAATTATACTTTTCAATTAAATTTTCTTTTTAAGAGATTACTTTGGTTATTATATAGAGAAAAGTTTGTGGGATGCAAAAGGAGAAGCAGAGAGACCAGTTACAGATCTGTTGCAATACTCCAGGTGGGACATGATGAAAGCTCAGAGGATGGAAGTAGTGGTGAAAGTGGAACACCAAGCAAGTGGGAAATGCTCGAGAACTGAAAGGACATGCATAAGGACTAAATGTGAGAAGAGACAAAGAGAGGAAAAACAAGACTTTGGATATGAGCAACTAACTGGGTGGATTCTGCAGCAATGTAACCTGCTGAGTGATGAGGAAGCATAGAATTGAAGAGGGATGTATTTCAGATATGGTATCATTGAGGTCCTTTAAAAATATTCAAATGACATTGTAAGCGAACTACGAAGGATAGAAGTCTCTAGCTGAGGAGGGTCTGTAGCTCTGGAGCTGTGTAGAGATCATTGTTTGTGGTTGGTATACACACACACCATACATTTTATATATGCCTATTGTTATCTTACAGTTATTAGAAATTTTAGAAAGCAATATTACTTTGCCATTCTGCTTAGTACAAAGATTAAAATACATATTCCCACATTTATTCAAGAAAGGTTTAAAAATAAAACAATAGGTACTATGTATACACTTACAGTTAAGAAGAAAAATGACCAAATGCCACTATTTTTTCTGCCATTGCGAAAAATAAATGAAATCACATATGTCAAGAAAACAAGAGATGAGACATATCCAATGCTACACAGGATCTGAAAACAGAAATACTTAAATTGGATAAAGTAAATACTAATTAGGAAAGTACCCATGTGCATCTCTCAACTTTTCAAAACTATAGGAAAGATAATTTTATGTTCTTTGGATTAAGTTAAACAATAGTATTCCACTGGTGAGAAACTAGACTAATTAAACTATTTCTTAATCTTTTTTACTTACCTGGATTAACAGGTTTTGAATTATGAATATAATCTCTTCTGGGCTAAAAACATAATCCATTATTTGCATCAGAAGGAGAATCAAAAAGTAGAGGGGAATATCCACCAGTGCCTGTCCAAACCAGTAAGCTGAAGGATACAGGCCTGAAATCCATAGCTGGGAGTGAACTTTTTTCTGATGAAGAAATAGAAAAATCATTAAAAGGCCCATAAAACTTGAGGTTTGGGAAATTTTAAATACATACACACAAAAGCATTTATTTTTGCTATATTCCTTTAATAATTATTATTCTGGTTTGGCAAAATGCTACTACCATTTGCCACACCCCTATTTCAGAGACATTAAAAATACTGCAGACCATGTTCATGACTTTATTGCCCAAAGGGACAACGTGACAATATTACTAGCTAATCTTTCATCAGTAAGTAGGCATTTCTGTTCTTTTCTTTCCAAAGGTACTTCTTCCTTTGACAAGAAGACATGAAAATTGCGTTAAGATTTAAGAATGTGAGTTTACACCTGTCTCTAAGAGTCCTGAAATTTATTATGAACATGAACAATGAATTTATAACTGGCATTTTATTTAGAGTCTAAGGATTGGTCATTTATTTAATTAATTT